CTGATCAGGGCTCTTAAGAGTTCATTGTGCACCTCAGAACAGCACACCATCTAAAGCTTAGGAATTACTTCTTTGTAGAATTTTCCGATCTCCTATTTTCTAACCACAATAACAGTGGATAACTGAAACTATGGTAAGTGCAACTGGGGAACATGATAAGAAGGAACTATTGTAAACTCTGAAACCAAAGAATATTAGTGATATGAGTCAAGTTAGTGAAATTGAGTCACAGAGAAGTGCTACAGACCGCCTAAGCTTTATAGCCAATCAATGGTAGAGGCTGAACTTGAACTCTATCAGTCCTATTGGGAATGCAAAGCTCTTGTTCTGTACCAGAACTTTCCACAAAGGGCAGGTCTCCTTGGCCTTTGGAGGGCTTTGGAGATAACACCTCACCAAGCACAAATAGAGTAGGTACTTTTCTTCACATTTCTAATCAATATTTCCTGGAGAGAGATCTTCACCTACACTCATCATTACTTAGGAATTAAAGAGCCACTGATTGTCTCTGACTTGCCTCTTCAGGCCTCTGAGATGAGAGACTCGTTACTTGTTATATGAAATCCTTCTGCCCCCAAAAGCTTTCAAATTTCACCCTGTGGATAAATCAAAAGAGTTTCCATTCTCCTTATGTTAAGGCAGGCTTTGCTGAAAAAAAATGAGAACCCTCAAGAGTTGGGACCCTGTTTGCAGAATGAGTAATATGCAACCTGAAATTATGGATTTCACATGTAACCCTGTATGACATTAAGAATTAAAACTTTTTCTTTCTTTCTTTAAGACACTAGCATCTAACAAAGCAGCCCATCACCCCAAAAGAATCCATTCCTACCTACTGGCACACAGCTTGATGCTGCAGCTCCATGACCCAAAGGAGGCCTCAAAGGACTTGATTCAGCCACCTTCCAACTGTGACTGTATGCAGAGACAGCAGACTAGACTGAGAGATTGACCAGAGCCAGACTTGCAAGCAGAGAAAGAAGCTATATACAGTGCCTGGATATTAAGTTCCTGCTCTAAACTCTTCAGAAGATCTGACTGCATGCTGTGTGACATTCAGGGTCCTTACCGGAGCTTCTAGAATACTTACAATAAGACACAGACCTATTTGTTCCTCTATCCTACTGGTTACCTCCAAGTACACTATACTCTAGAGCATTGGGACTATTTTCTGCTCCTTGAACAGTCCCATCCCATAACCACCCTTACACCTTTGCACAAGGTGTCTCTGCTTCTGAGGTGCCTCACCCATCCCCACCCGACTCCTTCTCTGGAGCCTTTCCTGATTTTCCTCCATCATCATAGACAATCAAACTGGATGTGGCCTCAACTGTAATGAAAGTTTCAATTTCTGTACTCAATAGTAGTGATTATTTTCTAAATGGTGTGGCAGTAATTCAGGGTCCTTTTGTTTTGCTTGCTTTCAATTAACATTAGCTACAGCACTAACTATGTGTTAGAGGCTATACTGGGTACCGGGACACAAAAATGAACGTGTCGAGAAGCTCTTTTCCCCAGAGGGTTTGAAGTACTCAGAAGGCTGTACCCAAGAGCAATCAGTGTCTAGGTGAGGGGAGAATTGGCTGACCAGGGAAACATGAAATATAGCATGGCATTTGAGTTGGGAACGGGTCCCTTGGGTGAAAACTGGAAAGTGAAGGAAGATTCTACCAGGCAAAGAGAACATTGCATACATACTACAGTCCAATGCTTACTAAGTGAATAAAAGCAAAGGCCTCATGGATTAGAACATTGTCTTGGTCCCTTATTCCCTGCTTCTAGCTGAATTTTTTACTGAATGCCTATGTGTTTTCCATCCCTCACACCAACCCCATCAGTTAAGCATCATCATCTTCATTTTACAGATGAAGAAACAGACTCTCAAGGCCAAAGACCCCAAAGGTATTAAGTGGCAAAACCCGCTGAGCTCATAATAATACAGGAATTCATCTTCAAAGAACAACCTGTAGAGCAAATTCCTGGCTCTCTTCCTCTGAGCCTGGGCTCAGAGAAAGGGCTGAGAGGGCTCTGGGAATCCCTCAAAACCTAGCAGGCTTCTGAAAAAGTGAAGGGGACAAAGGAAGAAGAGCAGCCCAAATCAGGCTCCATGTGGATTCTGGGAACAGCAAGCTCTGTCCGGGTATAAATCTGGTATCAATACCAGATTTATTTATTAAAATGGAATTTTAATAGTCCCAGATGAGGACCCTTCTTCCTCATTTACAAAAGATAACCTGAAGAGAGTCACCCAAAAGGGACTTATGAAGGCTCTCCTAGGGCTCAATGAATTGAATTAGATCTCTGGCTTTCTAGAACAAAACGTTTTGGTTTTGATGAGAGCTCTTTCCCCGCTTTTCCTTTGTCTGATCATTTTCTCTATTTCTCTCTTTCTAGTCCAGGCTTTTTCTGTAATACTTGTGTTGGGCACAAGCTTTTTTCCTCCTAGCTGAGACTATTATGTCTTGCTATTGTGGTGCTTCTTTCCCATTGAAAGCAATCAAAAATGAAAATCCACATTTCAGAACAGTGTCTATTAAAAATGCACCTTCTTGTGCATTTGAAAAAAAATGAAAAGGCTGATTTTCAGCTCTATGTATCACCTACAGGTAGATGCTAGGTGAGACTTCTACTTCCTAGCAGACCATTTGCATTTGGCAATTGAAAGTGATGCCAGAAAGTCTGCAGCCAGCAGCAACTTACTGTAAGGAATGCCTTAGTTTCAAGCACTGCTAATTGAAGTGTGATCTTCGCACCAGAAGCAAGTGCTTCACCTGGTAGCTTATTAGAAATGCAGACTCACAGGCTCCATTCCCAAACCAATTGGGTCAGACTCTGCCTTTTCACAAAGATGTCAGTAATTTAGATGCAAAGTAAAGTTTTAGGAGCACAGATGTAACTGGGGGAGAAGGGGGCTATGTATGTCTGTGTATGTCAGTACTAGGGTTTGAACTCAAGACCTTGTGCTTGCTAACCAGGTGCTCCTCCACTTGAGCCACACCACCAGCACAGATTAGAATTAAAATGCATTTACTTGTACTGTCATCCTGGACCCCCCCCATGTGTGTTTCTTCTCAAAAAAGAAAAAAAGAAAGAAAGAGAAAATCTCTGTTTAGTGAATTCCATAGGATGTCTCACATCACTCTCCATTGCTTATTCACAGAGGAAATCTGAAATGGTAAATATTCTAGAAATCAGTGTCGGCCCAGAGAGTTCAAGGTGAAGCAAACAAAGCTGATGACTAGCCTTTCGGCTGTGTATCGATAGCTAAAAGGAAAACACTGGAAGTGAGGCAGCTCATTTTCCTACCCTCTTTTCTGAGACTCTGGATCATTTTGCTTGGCATATTTTCCTCAGGGAAGGGATGGAAAAAGACACAATGTCTGGACTGCACAAAAGACAGGTGAGTCCAAGAGGACATGCTGAGTATGAGGAAGCTTTGAAAGCACAAACAGGCAGATACAAGATCACAGCTTTTAAATTCAGGCTTTGCTCAGATATCATACATCTAAGAACAGTCCAGACATATGTAGATGAACTCAGATTAACCCATCTGGCATCTACATGAGAGACAAGGACCAGGAATATGGAAAATCTTATGAATCTGATTGGAGGGAAAGGGAACAAGAACTAAAAGGTATGAGAAAAGGGGAGGAAGAGGCTGCTGCTCACTGGTATACTGCCCATGGATGCTCACTTGCTGGAGAAACTTAATACCTGAGGAGGCATAGAGTCTCTGTTAGGCCACGCAGATGCTGGCCAGGCCTCACATTTGACCTTGTTCTCTATAAAAAGATACCTGCCTCGGAGATATTCTTATTTAAAAAAATAAACAAAGCACCAGAAAGTTACTTTGCTAAGCAAACAAACAGAAAACCCTGTCTCCTCACCCAAAGCGAGTGTTTTCTCCCTATTTCTAACAGATTTGCACATCACAACCAACACTTTCATGCCCTAGGCATCTTTCAGATGTCTAAGCAGAATGCCTGAGTTATTGATTACTGTAGTTAAGGCCTAACTTGCTATTCTCTTCCCTCCACTTTTTCTAATCATTCACTCTTTTTTTTTCTATCTTTGACTTCAGAATCTCCCAAACAGAATATTTTCAAACACAAAAATGGTTTATTTATACCAAGCAATGTTTATTCTCCATGAATGATAGTTTGTATCCTAACAGTATTTCAGCTCTGGGAACACAATGCTGTCTCTTTTAACTCTTTATTTCACATCAACAAGCTCTCGAAGACAATTTGGAATGGGCAGGAATTAAGGACAGCCTTGTCAAGAAGATGCTTCAGCTCTGACATTCAGACAGGAACTTCACCAGGCTTCACCATAACCAAAAGATAGCTCTCTCCTTCACAGTCAAGTATTATAGATTAGCCACCGACAGACTATCAATTTTATTTCAGCTAACTTCCACTTTATAGAAAAGTACTTGATTTGATTCTCCCACCCCCAGTGAGCTAAGACATCTTCCAGAAACACACCTGAAGGAAAACCTCTCTCCTCACCCCCAACAAGCTCAGACATGAACACACAACCTCCATGAAAGAGAAAGTTAACTTTAAAATGAACCCTTCTTCTGCCAGTCTGGCCATGCTTTGAAACCTTCACATTCGTGGATAGTTCACAAACTTTCTCTTTTTCTCTCTCCCTCTCTCTTCCTCTCTTTCCGCCTCTCTTCCCCCTTTCGCTCTCCTCACTGTCTGCCAACGTGAAGATGGCTTTATTTTGTCCTTCCTTAGAGAAGGCAACCTGGGCTACTAGCGGGGTGCCTGGGGCAAGGTAGATGCGTTAACCTGTGCAGGGTCCAGAGAAAAATTTTCTGGCAACTCCGGAGGTTTTGAAGAAGGCTGGGACACTGTGATTCTCGGGTTCTCAGGCACCCCTATGCTCTGGACTTATAGTGGTGGGGGAACTGGTGTAGGGCCGTCCAGGTAGCTAAGACTCCTCTCCCTGCTGGGCCATCCGGGGCCCTCCACCAAAGCAGGGTCACTCACCACCCGTGAGCTGTGCAGGGCCGAAGCACAGCGCGAGCTGAAACCACAGGATCACGGCCAAGAGTCTCTGGGGGGACTGAGGCTGCTGCTGCTGCTGCTGCTGTTCTAAAAATCCATCTCCATTGCTCGGGTTCATTCCATGATACATCTTTCATCCACAGAGGGCATCCAGCTTGCAAGAGTCTGCAACCAGGAGGAAACAGAACACGACATACCCGGTTACCCTGGGTATCAGGGGCCACGCTCCCCCTCCTCTGCCCGGGGACCCCATGCCACGGCTTCGCGGACGCTCCATCCTGGTTCTCCCCAGCGCGGCCCCCGCCCCCTTTCCCACGGCGAGATCCCCCCTCCACCAACCCGCACGGGGCACACGGAGTACCCGCCACCGTGGGATGCTGCGCGTGCGGCAGAGGTGGAGGAGGGGAGGGAGGGCAGGGGTTAGCGCACATGGGCTCTGCGCCGGTCCCCGGGATTCGCCGGTAGTGACCACGATTGCAAAGTCTAAAAGCCTTCCAGCACCTCGGGGCTGGGAGAACACTTTTCCCTGGGCCTAGACATTTCACTCCTGAGGAATCTCTCTCGGTGTGGGCACCGGTTCCCTCCAGCTACTTCTCTGGTTTCGCTGAGATCGGGAGGGTCTTATTGCCCCAGTCCCCAATGAAATTTCTCTGCGCTCGGAAATGATTTTTTTTAATTAAAAAAATTGATCGCTGGGAGAGGGGGAGGGAGCAAAAGCAGGAGCCAACTCCCCCCCCCCACCACCACCCCGACCCCCGGCGCCCCTGCCCGGCCTGCGCGCACCTCCCCGGGGTGGAAAGCCCCTTTCCCCCCGCGCTCTCGATCTTACCTGTGGGTCTCATGCATGCAGCTCCCTTCCCTCCTCCGCCTCCTCCCCCCGCCGGGCTAACCCGCATCTGTGCGCGACCTCTGCCGCCGCCGCCGCCGCCGCTGCGCGAGCCAGCGACCGAGCGAGCGAGCGAGCGAGCGAGCGAGACAGAAGCCTCGGCGGCGGCCGCGGCGCCCGGCTCCAGCTGCCCCCGCCCGCCGCGCGCTCCCTCCCCAGGCTCCCTCGAGCGGGAGCAGGGGTGCTGGGAGCGGAGGGATGGAGGGGAGGGGGGAGGAGGGAGAGAGGACGGCGTCCCGGCCGCGCGCCCCCGGGGAGGCGCCCGCGCGCCCGCTACCTGGATTCTTGGGCGCGCGCGCGCGGCGGCGCGGAAAGGGGGAGGGAACAAACGAGGAAGCGCGCGGAGGCCGGCACGCGCCTCCACCGATCTTGCGGGAGCTGCGCCCGGGGAGGGCGAGGGGAGGGGGGGGGGACGGATCGGTGAGGGCGGGGAGTGGGACGGGGGCCCGCCGCCGCTGCCGCGGCTGCCGCCGCGACCAATGGGAAGCCGGCGCGCTTGCACCTGTCGGGGCGCAAGTCGCCTGGCGGCGGCACACAACACACACACACACACACACACACGCGTGAACACACACACACACATACACACGCATACACTTAGGCCTGCAGATGCTGGGCTGCAGCTCCCAGCCTCCATTGCACGCTGGCCTAGCTGCCAGCTGTGGCCTCGGAGTGGCCTCTGGTGCCCCCCAGTGCGCGGGGCTGAGCAACGCGGGAGAGTGAATACAAAGCGGGATTTGGGGCTCACCATGGGGTCCTGGATCCCTGCCCTGAGGTCCTCACCCCAGGATGCTTACCACTGTCAGGCTGGGTTAACTTGGGTGGGACCAAGCTGGGGACGTAAATTGCCAGAGCTTCTTTTGCTGTGCTACAATCTGCCCCCCCCCCGCGTCTGTCTGTCTGTCTCTCTCTAGCGCGCGCGCCATCTATGTATGCAGAGGCTCTGCTAGTCTCTTCCAAGCTGAAAAGACCATCTAAAGGGGGCTGAGAGTCTGACCCCCTTGGTATTTTCCCATTGCCAAATGCAGGCATATGGAACTAGCTCTCTTGGCAGGCCTAAGAGATGCCTGGGCCAGTCCAAGCCTTGAGAGGCGTTCCCCAGACAGGGGGTTGCAGACCAAAGGCTGATGGGGGAGGGGAGGCAGTGGGGAGGAGGATGGGAGAATTCTAGAGCAGTGGACAGGAACCCAAGAGAGTCAGGTATATTTGTCCTCCCAGCTCCCAGGGGAGAGAATTCCCAGGTGGCTATGGCCCTTTCTGGCAACTGAGCTCAGCCTGACAGCCGGCAAGGCTCTTTCCCCACCTGACCACCCACGGTTCTGCAGAGATAGGCCTCCTTCTGCGGGCTAGGTTCCGAGGGCCCACGTTCCAGCCACGGTGATTAAGGGGTGTGAGTTAATGAGGTGGTGCCGGCAGGCAGTACTTTAGAAACAGTGGCACTCTATTATTCTGTAGCAATTTGTGGATATGAAAACCGTATTTCTGATAGAGCTACCAAATCATCCCGTCCTTCTATCGACTTTCCCAAAATCTTACATACTGAAATTACAGCTTTTACTGTGTCGACTCTTACCGGGAGTAATTTTAACAAATTCTTGCAGGATAGATTAGCTTGAATTTAGTAGATAAATCAAGCTCAGGATTTTTTTCTTTTGATTTGTAAAACTGAGCTGGCAGCCTTATACAGAATAAGTTGAAGATATTAGTTAACACAAGTACATTCCTACTAAGTGTCTCGCTGGGACTCCAAAGTCCTAGTTGGACATTTTCCCATATTCCCCAAGTCCCATTCCTCTACAGATTGAATATTTATTACCTTTTTTTCGGTAAATATTCTACCAAATCACGAAACTGAAAGCTAGTTATTGACTGTATGTGTATGCTTATGCAAAATCAAAAGAGCAGAGAGAGAGAAAGAGAAAGACAGAGAGGGAGGGAGAAAGAGGGAGAGAGAGAATTACTAGGGATTAAACTTAGGGCCCTTGTACAGCCTCAGGCTATTCCTGAGCTATATCCCCAACCAGTTTTTTTTAACTAAATGTTTCCATTTATTAGAAATACTTTCAGAAAATATCTAACGTGTGAGCAATATAAAAAATGAATAAGGACAAAGGTGATCTTGTTGGCATAGGTTGTTCTTTGGTTTATGTAGTACGAGGGTTTGAATTCGGGACTTTAACCAGGTATTCTACTACTTAAGCCACTTTGCCAGACACTTTTGGGGCTGGCTATTAGTGTGATATTGCTATTTTTGCCCCCCACCTCCACCTCTCCCTGGGATGACAAGCTCATGCCACTTTAACCAACCTTTGTGTCCCAGGCCACTTAGGAAAACAAGCACAAATCACCCATGCTCAGCCATTGGTTCAGATGGAGTCTTAACTCCCCCCCCCACACACACACTTAGTCCAGGTTATCCTTGAATCATGATTCCTCCATTTACCACAGACTGGAGCTGCTGTACTTGGCTAATTTATAAAGATACAAAGATAAAATAAAGGATTAGGTCATTTGAACCTTCCTAATTATTAGCAAAAAAAAAAACTTAAAAAGCAATCCAAGTACATAACAAAGAAAACTTTTTTTTTTGTCTGTTGTGGGGCTTGAACTCTGGGCCTGGGCAGTGTACCTCAGCTCTTCAGCTCAAGGCAAGCACTCTACCACTATCCCCAACCAGTTTTATTTATTTATTTTTAATTTTAAGACAAGCTTTTCCAAAGTGTCTGTGCTAGCTTCAAACTCAGTATATAGCCCTGGCAGACCTTGAGCTTACAATTCTCCTGCCTCTGCCTCCTGAATAGCTAGAATTATAAGAGTGCCATCACACCAAGTAAAAGAAATTTATCTTAAGTGTGACTGAAATCTGTTCTTCAGCTGGAGCACAATCTATTTATATGGAAAGCATTAGGACCAAAAGAACACCTAAATTCCCTGGATCCAAGCATAAAATCTATGCTTAGTCCCATCTCTGACATTTCTAAACAGTGGTCATCAGCCTCATGCAATACTTGTGGAGGAAGCCTGTTATATTTGCTGACAGCACTCTTAGAAAAGCCTTCAGTATATGGAACTGAATTCTACCCTCCCACTACTTTTAGCCACTATTTCTAGATGTCCCCTCTGGCCTCCACAGCTAAACCAAATGCCTATTTAAGACAGTATTTCATTCATTTGAATATGGCTTTTTGTTCCTTTGAATCTTCCCTTCTCTATGTTATTAAAAGTCACTTCCTTCAGCTTAACAATTCCCAGAATCCACCAGCCTGTAGTCTTTGGCTGTAACTGGACTCCTCAGTACCCACCATGGCCAACACTCAGTTTGTTTCAGAAAGAGATACTCTGTTTACTCTGAGTTCTGACCAGTTTGGGGACAGGACTGGCTCTCCCTGTCATCCATCAATCTAGCTAGCTATCTGTCTGTCTGTCTATCTATCTATCTACTTATCTCTTCTATTAGTGCAAATGAGGAAGGAGTCATTTGGGGGCAGCTACAGTACGCCATTTGTCAGTTTCTACATTACCACATTTACTTTTTTTTTTTTTTTAGAGCTGCCAGAACAAAATAACCATTGACTGGCTAGCTTAACTGATAAGAATTTAAGTTTTCAGAGTTCCAGAGGCTGGAAGTCCAAGATCAAACTGTTGATGGAGTTGATTCCTTTTCAGGAATCTTCTAGGCTTGGAGATGACCACCTTCTTCCCACGTGTTCAGGCAGTCACTCCCCTGTGGTATCTGTGTCTTACTCTCCACTTTTTAAAAAAAAAAAAAAACAAGGATACCAGTTAGGTTAACTTAGGGACAACTCTAATGATCTTAGTTGAGAGCCTCTATGGAAAATATAGTCACATTCTGAGGTACCGGGAGTTGGGGCTTCATCCTATGAATTCAGAGGAAAGGATGTAGTTCGACCCAACAAAAAAAAATAAATCTGTGTTGTATTCATCTTCAATAACAAAAACAAGCAACCTGTGTTTTACTCATCTTCCAAGTAAAGATGGTGAAAGCAAAGGAAGTCAACCACCCAGCCATTAGGTCCTCAGATTCAAATCTATCACAGTTCAACTCCATCCTTATAAGCTTTCCACCATTTCACAGCTACTTTTGTGATTCCTGGTTACCTCAAGGAGCCTACAAAATGAGATATCTGATTTGGATATATGTTTTTCTCAAGAAGAGAAGGGGAGTGAAAGTAGAGCATACGGGAGAGATCATAGCTTACTTCTTACTGGGGTGGTGAATGGAATATACTTTATCTCTTCCTAACCATTAGAGTCAACTACCAGACCAATACCACTAGAAAGGTGCTAAGTAAAGGCTCAGAGTCCTCCTCCCAAACACAGGAGGGCAGGAAGGCTATGGAATGGTTAGAAAACTTATCCTCTATCTCTTCCTCCTCTCCACCTCAGATGCATGAAGTTCTCTGTTGTTTTTACTCCATTATCACCCTGCCTTGCCGCTTGCTATAGGTTGGTTTTCAAAACTTAATAAAGCTCTTTCTTCCTATCATATAGTAGAATTTCACTTTGAGCAGCCAATATTATTTTATTGCATATATTAATTAAACACCTACTATGAACTAGATATTTTTCTAGGTGCTGGGAATGCAACAACAAACAAACTCAAAAATCTAAGCCTGTCAGGAATTTATATTTTAATTAAGGAAGACAGATACAAATGAAAGAAGAAAAGCATTCTGTAGTTTAGATACTAAGTGCTGGATAGAATAAGAAATCAGGGAAGGGTAGAGTTGTAGATATAGTCTGAGTAGTAACAAAGGATTTCAAATATGCAGTCATAGAATGGAAGTTTATTTCTTTCTCATCTAAATGTCTTATAGATGTTTCTGCTCCACCAAGTCATAAAAAGACTGCTTTCCTCTAGCTGGTTACTCTGCCATCGTCTAAGGTTTTATCTGCATTTCCATAGTTGAAGTGGTGTGTCTGGGGTCATGCCTGAAAGTGATTTTTAGAAAAGGTTAATGATAGTGAAAAATAGTGAAGGAGAAGTTAACAAACA